GCTTTCTACCTTCTAATATGTTAATAACTATGCATTTAATACACGCATACATGTCATTATTTATGTCTACATAATATATATCATTTCTGTTGCTACAGGTAAATTGGGATTATGTTGTAATTGGGGACTACCATCAGGCGTCTGAAGATAAATTTTCCCACGATGCCATAGGATCACAGTGTTGTTCCATGAGTATAATGGCGATTGTTGTTGCCCAAATTAAGGCACCATTCAATTGGACAAAACATGTCATTCATGACATACTCTTGCAGGGCGATGATACTCATTTGAGAATTTTAAGAAAGTTAGGATGGCCTCAACATAGAACAGAAAGTATGTTAGATATTGATGAGATTCCTGACATCCTGGATTGTACAGTTAATGGAGAGTATATAAAAGCCAGTGTTGGTGTACTGGAAGGTGCAAAGTTTGGCTTTACGCTGCAGGATGTCCTAGCTGAAGCATTTCTTCACAATTCATCAACTTCTTTCATGTTGAGGATAGGTGATAAGCTGTCTCTTATACACATCTAGATGTGTATAAGAGACAGTAATTAATTCATGTTATGCAAATGAATAATTTAACCTGGTTTTAATTTAATCCCATATCCCTGTTTTTTATTAGTATTCAAGGTTAATACACAGTACAACTTTCATTCTAGTGCATGTGTATTGTTATGCCCTATAAATATCCACCTTAAACACTATGTGTTGTTACTTTTCATGTAACAAAAACTGACTTTATAATACGGACAGGGTTGTCAGACCAAAAATTATTACCAAGATATATGTTTCAAATTTGTATTCATATTAGCCATTTTATTCATCTTTTACAGTGTCCTATTGAATTTGTTTACTTTTATGTCTTTCAAATTTTTGTGATGATTTTTAAAGTTTAACAAAATCAGCCTTAAATGTATATGACTGGAATACGGAATTTGGAATTTGTTTAAGTTTACTAAAAAAAAAATTATGTGTTTGTCCTCCAATAGAAAATTGCATGGGAGGGGCCGGGTAGGAAAAAGGTATTTCCCGGTCACTAAATTTGCATCTTATTTTGGCCTAATGGTAATTCATATTCACAAAATGGGCATCTTTCCTCACTAAATAAACATCTTTCCTCCCCTGCTTTTCTAATGAAATATGAGAATTATCTACCCTCTGATATATTTCAGTCATGAAATACAACATCACACAGGAGATTATACATCTTTAATAGTGAATGTGCAGGGGGAAATAATGTTATATATCATGATACCTTAGCAGTTACATAATGAATTATTGAAGATGGATAATACAATCAACACTAATTGTTGAGCTCGCAGCATGTTAAAAGTATTCCTTTACATTTTAGAACCAAGATGAACAAGTCAGTCAACAGAAACGTGCTAGAGTAGGCCTAAATGACAAAGCATCAACTGTTTTTGACAGTGATAAAAATGTGGAAGAAACATTTGTTCAGGTAATTTCAACTTTTTTTAAAAATCTCTCTAACGATGAAGATACATAAGTACAGTAGCTGCTTAGGATATTTAATAACTACACCATTTCTGTAATCGCCAAAAAAGTTGCATAAAAACTGTATGAATTTTTTTCGCCTGAAAGGAAATTTGTTGAGGAGCAAAACGGTCGCACTGCCTACCGTAAAGCAAGATAGACCTATTCCAGCCTTTTTAGCTCATTAAAAAAACATTTTTCGTTGTACCAAAAAAAAAACTAAAATGCCGAACCTCAATTTTGTACATTTTGGGTCGGTTCGCCGTGGTCAACACTTTTTTATTTGGCCTCTCTTGTATTTCAACAGATCTAAAAAAAATTGTAGGCCTATGGTATGCCTTAATTCGTAAGCCTGGTTTTCTTAAAAGACAAAATTAAGCGTTGTAGGGTATGCTCTGACTTCCATTGCCTCACTGAATAAGTGATTGGCTGATATCGAAGACCAGCCATGCGGAAATTCTATTAGTACGATGTGATAGGCCCGACTGTGACTTATCCTAGGTACTAAAGTAGGCCAAACATTGAAAAACTTGAAAAAATAGGGTGTATATAGAAGATCCTAACTAAGAAATGCCTAAAAAAAAATTTTATGGCTAACCTCTGAGAATTTGTTTTAATGGGTACGGCTCTTTTCTGTAACTTTCTTCTCCTGTAAGGGTCTTGTCATGCCACGATCAGCTGAAAGGTGCTGGTCTAGTCAACAATTGCAGAGGCTTAGGTGAGATAGACCAACAGACCGGGTTATCTCCTCCTCAAAAGCTATTTGAGGTACTTTGAAGGGCATGCAAGCAAAATATCTTACTTTTCTAGATCTAGAAAAGTAAGATATCTTAGTTTTCTAGATCTAGAAAACTAAGATATCTTAGGTCTTAGTTTTCTAGATCTTAGTTTTCTAGACACACTTTGATATCTTAGTTTTCTAGATCTAGAAAACTAAAGGCCAACTCAGACAGCGTCGGCCGACACAGCCCAACCCGATTTATCGTCGGGGACAGTCTTAAGCCGTTGTGAGAAATATTAAACATGTTTAATATTCTACGACGCCACTGCCCCCGACGCACACCATCGCATCTGCGTTTAACTCACACAGACCCGATGCGACAACAAATCGCGTCGGGCTGCGTCGTACAATGCTGTCTGAGTTGGCCTTATGATATCTTAGGTCTTAGTTTTCTAGATCTTAGTTTTCTAGACACCCAGTTTTAAAGGCTATCTTGATACATTATATGCTACTATTTCTCTAGAGCCGTATCTACTGTCTTAATAGTGTGTTTATGCTAGGAGATGCTGCACAATATATTATGTTCTTTATTCTGTTTTTACTTTTTTGATGATTTATACAGTGGTAAGAGTTGTCTTTACTTACAATACATGTTACATATATATAAAATTTATATATTATACATGCTTTATATATATATATATATATATATATATATATATATAAATTATATATATTTAAATCACCGAATAAAGGTAAATACAGTGTTCGAATAAAGGATATATAGTACATCAACAATGTAGTCCTATAAATAAATGAATAATGAAATGGTGTAATAAAATGCCTCCGACGGGATTCAAACGTGTGAGCTCTCGCTGGCAAGGCGAGTGCCATAACCATTAGAAGATGTGTATAAGAGACAGGGCTTTCTACCTTCTAATATGTTAATAACTATGCATTTAATACACGCATACATGTCATTATTTATGTCTACATAATATATATCATTTCTGTTGCTACAGGTAAATTGGGATTATGTTGTAATTGGGGACTACCATCAGGCGTCTGAAGATAAATTTTCCCACGATGCCATAGGATCACAGTGTTGTTCCATGAGTATAATGGCGATTGTTGTTGCCCAAATTAAGGCACCATTCAATTGGACAAAACATGTCATTCATGACATACTCTTGCAGGGCGATGATACTCATTTGAGAATTTTAAGAAAGTTAGGATGGCCTCAACATAGAACAGAAAGTATGTTAGATATTGATGAGATTCCTGACATCCTGGATTGTACAGTTAATGGAGAGTATATAAAAGCCAGTGTTGGTGTACTGGAAGGTGCAAAGTTTGGCTTTACGCTGCAGGATGTCCTAGCTGAAGCATTTCTTCACAATTCATCAACTTCTTTCATGTTGAGGATAGGTGATAAGTGTACAGCTATCATAAAAGACTCTAGCATGGGATGGAGCCTGTTCGATAGCCATGCCTGCAATGTTAAAGGACAACGTGACCCCGAAGGTGCAGCTTGTATGATGTGCTTTACATCAGCAGAGAGACTTATTCAACATCTGACATTATTGTACCCCTACGATGGACACCAAATTGATGTTTTTCCCATTTATGTGCAGATCATGGATCAGATTGAAGGTAAGCAATTTCAAATCAACATATTAAACCATGTCAATTAGGTGGCCAGACTGGGTTTACCTGCACCATCTAGCAAACTATATTCGGACATGGTTTTTTTTTTTCTTTTCCTTATAATATCAATACAAATCTGTTGCTGTTTATCAATTTGATTAACATTACGTTCTCTTTCCAATAGAAGTATACTTATTATGTTACTAACTTTGGGTCTCCATAACACTGACCTTCGAATTCATGAACTTGTTTTTGGACAATGTCTTAATTAAGTACATATTACTTGCGTATTATTTTGTCGTAATGAATATTGAGAGGGTATTTTTTTAATTTTTTATGTAGACTGAGCATATTTCACATATTCCTAAAGATTAGCAAATGTGGTCATGCCTCATGTCTTAAAAACATCCATATTTCTATTCACTCCAATTGACCAAAAGTGACCGAAAACCCAATTTGTTACCATTGGTCACGAAAATGGCCATATTTTTGGTCTGCTTTTTATTTCACTTAAAGCTAATATAAACATACTTTGCGATTAATTATTAGACCAAAATTATCACTTTCAGACTAGTGGTTGCTAAGATATTCATATGGCCATATTCTGAGATAGTGGTCAGAAAAGGGGTTTTCGGTAACTTTTGGCAAAAGTTGTCCATTAGGATGATTAGAAATATAGGTCCTTTAAGTTTTTTGGCACCAAAATCATTTCAATACACCTAGTGTGTGTTCATACTTTATACTCGCCATACTTTACCGATAAAATATCAGTTATATAGCCACAAAAATGGCTAATAAATGAAATAATTTTTATACCTCTTTTTATTTGTAGACGAAGTGTTGTTGCAATCAAACGATAGCATAGATGACTCCACCCAATCATTTAGGAAAGAGCGTTATAGGAACATAAAATACGAACCCAGTCTTTGGGAGGAGTGCCATCCCAAAAAAGTGGAATCACTTCCATTTGACATTAATGGTTTGGAGGTATACCACATTCCATGCTCCACAAGGGCTGAGATGATGAAAGTTTCTAGAGATGGAAGACCATGGGATCGGTACTGTGCAAGTTCCAGGAAAGACTTTAAAGGCGTTCGCCGGCTTACACACTGTAAGGGATCCCCAGAGTGCAGCAACGAAGACTGTTTGTTTCGATCAATGTATGGTTGTAAAAACAGGCGGCAGTTTAAAAAGGAAAATTCCATTTCAGTATGCCATACATGTGGTAAGCCAGCAGACATGATTAAATGCAGTGCTACTAAAGTATGGGAATACTGTAAAGACTTTGTTGTTGTTATGCACATAGGTGATCACACATGCGTGGCAAAGAAAGCCAAGGTTTCCGTTGCATCTCTGCAACAAGACATACAGCAAAACCCAGGTCTTAAACCAAGCACCCTTGTGTCCCACAAAATGATGCAGATTATGTCGGTGGATGACTTTGACTGGAATGATGTTGAAGATATTGCCAAAAAGTATTCAGACTTGAAGCAAGTACACAATGCAAGAGAAAGAATGAAAAAAGAAATTTTGCCACTAGGTGAAAATTTCGAGGCCTTGGCCGACTTCAAAAGCAGATGTGAACAGAAAGACCGTTTTTTTATTTATAAGATTAACAACAGGGCATTCAACGGTGAACATACATTTGTGTTTAAGTCCAGCAAAGAGATGGCTGAGCTTGCCCTTTCAATGGACAAGGACAAAGGGGGGTTGCTGGCAAATGAATATGCTTATATCGACGGGAAACATAACCACTGCCGTGGTTATGTTACACTCACCTTGTGGGTCTATCACCCAGTAATTCGGAGAATTGTACGTCTTGCTGCTTCAGACACAGAGAAAGAAGACACTAGCATATTATCACTGACAGTCAGTGACTGTATTTAATTTTGTGATATTAAGAAAACCATTGCTTTATCTTTATACACATAACAAATAATTTTGTTAATGTTCAGGCTTGGATTGTAGTAACAGCTATTTTCAATTTTTAAGCTTTTAATGGCAAACTTGAAAACAGGAAACTGACTTTTGAACCATAAACATTTTTCATTAAAACTTGTTCATGACAATGAACTGTGATATAATATATTATCAATTGTAATACAAGTCAATTAGTAATTTATTTACCATCATCATAATTTATTATTATCATGACCATTATCTTTATTATTATTTGTTAATGAGATGTGTATAAGAGACAGGATGTCGCTATTAGAAGCTGCCAGGCAAGATGTCATAGATGCCATCAGACAACAAGTTGAGATAGAAAGTTTTGAGGAAGGTTACAATAAGGGTGGAAGGGGACGAAACACCAAACAAAAACAAGCAGAACGTTTTAAAAGTGACAAGAAGAGGGTTGCAGAATATGCTAAAGAGATAGACCACCTTTATATTCCAAAGAAGGGTGCCCATAGACCTCCTGAACCTAGAAGAAGCAAGAAGGCCAACTCCAACCAAAATGTACATCCAGTACCATCATATCAGAGAGATGAACAACCTGTGTGTGTGTGTTTTTCTACAATGATAATCAACCTGAAGACATGTTACGGATGCAAGGAAAAATTTGCTGATCGATACAAAAAAGAACCGAATGACATCATCCTCAAAACAAATCTTAAACGAAAATATAAGACCAGAGATGGTGAAGAACATGTTGCTGCAAAAGCATCTGCAGCATACTTTCACCTGAACTTAAATTGTGTCAGACTTGAAAAACCATATGTAGAAATAAGTGAAATCATAATTCATGAAGAAGTTAAACAACTTTTGAAGGAGGGCCACAGAAAGGTTTTGAGAATGTTTGGCATTAATATAGCACTGTAAAAAGATGCCAGAGATTGCTTATTAAGTGCACTGGTTTGCTCTAGGTTTTCAAGTTCATTTTAAAATGGCCAGCCTTTAAGCAAAGCAGGCCAAACCTATTTAAAAATTATATTTGCAGTTTCTAAGCTCTGAAATCCTATTTCCTATTGATATAGCATATTATCACTGACAGTCAGTGACTGTATTTAATTTTGTGATATTAAGAAAACCATTGCTTTATCTTTATACACATAACAAATAATTTTGTTAATGTTCAGGCTTGGATTGTAGTAACAGCTATTTTCAATTTTTAAGCTTTTAATGGCAAACTTGAAAACAGGAAACTGACTTTTGAACCATAAACATTTTTCATTAAAACTTGTTCATGACAATGAACTGTGATATAATATATTATCAATTGTAATACAAGTCAATTAGTAATTTATTTACCATCATCATAATTTATTATTATCATGACCATTATCTTTATTATTATTTGTTAATGTTTTACACCTGATTGATTCCGAATGATATACAGTATTCAAATCTAACTTATTATTGAAAAGTAGGCCTCTAATTTACATTAAGGCTCACAATACAAAACATTGGAATTTGGACATGTTACTATGCATCGTCAACTAGGGCACTCATAGAGTAATCTGAAATCCGTACCAAATGTCACTCTTTTCATTACCCTGTCAAAAGAGTAAGCATAGAGAATATATATATATATATATATATATATATATATATACATATGATAGGTCAATCAGTGGTTCGCTGCAACAAAATGTGTAAAAAATTATAATGTAGTTTTTTTTTTTAATTGCCTTTTTTTTATGTATATATATATATGTATGTGTTTGTATATATATATATATATATATATATTGTTATATATATATATATATATATACACGTATATATGTGTATATATAAATTTCGTCTGTGTATATGAATTTTCCATCTTTAAAACTTTCAGTAGACCTCATTATTTTATAAAAGTATGTAATTGATCCTACAACTGACAGTGACACATGGGACACTCCACATTGGATTTGTGTATTACCATGAGATGTATTATTAACATTTGTAAATAAACACGACAGACACGATTACGACACGACAAATTATCACGTAGTTAGTATTCAACACCACGCCCATCTGTTTTATCGTCGTTTCGTAATCGCGTCTAGTGTAAATGGGGCATCAACCTGTCATAATTTCCCGCACGATATTAACAGGATTTTAAGCCCTGTGTTAAGCCTACCTTTGGTACATAGTTCCACAGCAGAGATCGTAAACAGATGGAACACTATGTTCATCCATTGGGAACCACAGGAATACAAATATTGCACTCTCATGGTAGTCCATAATAATTTTCGTGGCACCTCCCTGTTTGGTTGGTATTCAAGTGAGTTCCCCAGGGATAAATTGTCATGACATGTAGCCTTGTTTAGATAAAGATATTGCTTATGTTCAAATTTAAACTTGTTGCATTATAGTTAGATTTATATATTTGTTTGTTTAAAAATTTCAGATGCAAGTGTTAGCCCAGTAATAGTGGATTTCATTCACAATGTCTTTCTATTATCTATCAACATGGTTTGAATCGTTTGTTTTGTATTTTTTGACGCAACAACAAACCTAAAGCATCCCATGTTTTTATTAATTTAATCTGCTTTGCTTTTACATAGGCCTCTATTGCATATAGTAAGTGTCTACATTGTAAATATAGTTTGAAGCGTAAATGATCAGATGTTTATTACATAAATTTTCTATTTTGTCTCTTTTTCATATATTTTCTATTGTCAATTTGTTAAGCCATAAAGCTGTTTATTTTACAAACTCCATTCTTTTTCCAAGGATGAAGTTTATCAAAAACTTGTATTTTCACATTCTTGCACTGTGATGTACAGTATGCTGCCACTTATGGAAATAAAACTCTAGTTTACATTTGATAATTTGTATAAGAATTTACCTCCATTAAAATATTTATTGTTTTGAACCACCATATATTATTGATGGGTCCGTTTATTTTTGTTTTCTGTTTCCCTATAATTTTTTTATATGTATATGTACATATATTTACATATGTATGTGTAATATTAGACACTTTATTTCTATTTATCCACTCTGGCCCACCATTCAGCACTCTGCTGATAATATTTGCGACACGTTGTGTATAGTTATATATATAT